TGCCAAGATGTTGCTTCCTCTTCCCCTTCCCATCAGCAGCCTGCAGGAAGCCCCGGGAGCCCGGCTGGCAGCACCCTGCTTCCTCCTGCAGCCAAGAGCCCAGCAGCGGCCGGGTCCTTCTTACCGGAGCAGCCCATTGGGGGGCTCCACCTTACGCCCACGTCTTCCCTGAAGTGTGGTCCTGAGACTGGACACAACACAGCAGCTGAGCCCTCCCTGGGGCTGGGAACAGGAGAGCAACCACCTCCCCTGTCCTCCATGCACCGTGCCCGTGAATTCCCCCGGAACGGCCCCAGCATTTTCAGCACCAGCTTCCCGCTTGGGGCTCATGGGAATTGTGCTGCATTTGGGCAGGGCTGGGCCTGCCCAGTGAGTCCCATTTCCTGCTGGGGCGGGGGGCATTTGCTTTCTTTCCTTTCCCAGCAAAGGGCCTTGCACAAATCAAAGCAGAATTTCCTCCCCTGGGGAGAACGCCAGAGCGTCTCTTTGGTCCAGCATGTGTCAGTCCAGTTCTGCATGGCCCCTCCCAAGGCCTCGCCGGTCCCCTCCGCTTGGGGTCCTTTGCCAATCCACAACCACAGCCTCGTCAGACAGAGCTGGGGACCGTAGTGACTGGTGCCCTTTACATTAAGGCTGTCTAGACTACACTGCTCTTTCAAAAGAGGAATGTAGTCTAGACGTAACCTTAGTTTCCACATTCACCACGCGACTGGGGTCCTATTGATCCGTCGAAGAGGAGAGATGGGTTAGGGCATTTCCTCTTGTGTCCAGCCGTGGGACACATCTGGAGTACTGAATCCAATTCTGCCCCCCCCCCAACAGAAAGGATGTGAACGCAGTGGAGTGGGCCCAGAGGAGGGCAACCAAAATGATGAGGGGGATGGAGCACTTGACCTATGAGGAAGGGCTGAAGGATTTGAGCTTCTTCAGTCTGCAGAGAAGAGTGAGGGGGGATCTGAGAGCCCAAGAGGCTGGGGAGAGGCTGTTCTCAGTGGGGGCAGAACGAGGAGCAATGGGCTCAAGTTGCAGTGGGGGAGGTCTGGGTTGGAGATTAGGAAAAACGATTTCCCTAGGCGGGTGGGGACGCCCTGGGCTGGGTTCCCTGGGAGAGGGTGGAATCTCCATCCCTAGAGGTGTTTAAGTCCCAGTTTGACAAAGCCCTGGCTGGGATAATTGAGTTGGGTTGGTCCTGCTTTGGGCAGGGGGCTGGACTCGATGCCTCCTGAGGTCTCTTCCAGCTCTGGGGTTCTATGGTTCTTTGCAAACATCTTGGTGATAATGAGGTGACAGGTAACAACCAGCAACACTCCAGAAGTGGCCTCACCAGAGCCGCATAAAGAGGAATAATCACATCTCTGGATCTGCTGGCAACGCTCCTCCTAATGCTCCCCAATGTGCCATTGGCCTGCTTGGCTCCAAGGGCGACCTGTTGACTCACGTCCAGCTTCTCATCCACTGTAACCCCCAGGTCCTTTTCTACAGAACTGCTACTTAGCCAGTCGGTCCCCAGCCTGTACCAATACTTGGGATTCTTCCGTCCCAAGTGCAGGACTCTACACTTGTCCTTGTTGAACCTCATCAGATTTCTTTTGGCCCAGTCCTCTAATCTGTCCAGGTCACTCTGGACCCTTCCCTGCCCTCCAGCGTATCTACCTCTCCCCCTAGCTTAGTGTCATCTGCAAATTTGTTGAGGGTGCAACCCATCCCCTCTTCCTAGAACTGACCCCTGGGGCACTCTGCTAGAAACCGACCACCAACCTGACATCGAGCCGTTGCTCACTACCCATTGGGCCCGACAGTCTAGCCAGATTTCTATCCATCTCACAGTCCATTTACCCAATCCATACTTTCTTAACTTGCTGGCAAGAATATTGTGGGAGACCGTATCAAAAGCCTTGCTAAAGTCAAGGTATATCACATCCACTGACTTTCCCACGTCCACAGAGCCAGTCACCTCATCATAGAAGCTAATCAGATGGGTCAGGCACGACTTGCCCTTCGTGAATCCATGTTGACTATTCCTGATCACTTTCCCCTCTTCCAAGTGCCTCAGAACGGATTCCTTGAG